AATGACAGAGCAGAAGTAAAAAACGTTTAAGCATAGTATGCACTTATTAAACACACTAACAAATGTTATATAATGAATTTGACATAGTATAGAGGACGGAGCCTACACAGTACCTTTTTTATGACCTAGAATACCTTTTTAATGACTTCTCCCGTCTTGGGTTAGGCGAGAGGGAGTGTCAGACTCTAACTGACTACACCACCACCCCGTTCCTACTCCTGCTCAGAGCTGGAGCCCCAACACACAGCCTTCACAGTACTAACATACCATATCATCTAAACACATTACATTATTATAACATAACATCACGCCTTTTATCCCAGGTAGGTAGAGGTATACATTACGGCACTTAATGCCACTGTACAATGTAACACCCACTTTTCACTATTTATGTTATGCGTTCTAAGTAATAGGGGGTGAGCCTATTGCCATATACCCCAGTAATTGTGTCCACACAATTCCAGACTGCTACTACTGAGTGCTACTACTGAGAATTTTTAAAAACCAAGTAATACTTTGCCCGACCCGGCAATCGAACCCGAGACCCCTTGCCCGACAGTCGCACTTGCGACCATTCGGCAAACAAGGCAGTCATTATATCATTATATGTGTGTAACATATAACTACAGAACTTTGTCAGTCTAGATAAAATGCCACAAATGTCTAGACTTACGTTGACCGACCATTCCCAGCCTACCTGTGTCCTGTACCACTTACTTTATTTCCCACTAGACTAGAACAAGTTGAGAAATACAATTAGCTATCCTAAGTTTGAGCTAGACTCGTGTCCTATGTGGGATGGTGAAAATATCAGAAATATCAGGTTATAGTTATGGTATAAAAGATTTATTGGTTGGACTGTGTATTGACAGAAGTGCTTATTGTGTAAACAATGCAATTAGGTCCAATAACAAATTTAAGAAGTCTTCCGCTTATTTTTTGGATATTAACAGGGGTAAGACACACACATGTGTTCTGTGTATGTATGTAGTTATTACTAAATTGTGTATGTGTGTGTGTTCTCTTAAGTGAGGGAGAGCCATGCTTCGGCACGAATGGGCCGGCTCGACCGGAGACAGTAGAAAACCGACGTGAAACAACGCTTGCGTTGTGTTTCATCGTGTGAGTGAGGTTACCGGAGGCCCAATTACCCTCCCCTTCCCCAATCTCCCCAATTCCTGAATCCCAACGATCCTCAAACTCCTAGTCCCCAAAAGGTCGGTAACGCACTTGTAACGCCTCTGGTGTTCCAGGTATCCAAGGGCGACGCCGATTGCTTACCATCAGGTGATCCGTCTGAACGTTTACCGGCTTATGCCATATAAAAAAATGAGGTGAGTTTATCGCCATATACTGGGCACGATTTTCAAGACTCCAAACTTTTACTGTAACAGCGAATCGAACCCACGACCTCTTGCTCGTTCATCGGATAGTAAATAATATGCACAATAGTCAATATTAAATGGAACCCACGCTTTCAAGATTAACTTTATAAAGTTAATCTTTATGTTCCTAGTACTAATAATAACTAGCGAGTCTATAAGTAAAACTTTATTTAATAACGTGACCACACACGTTACGGGTGCGATCCGCTACCAAAGTTCGTCTATCTACAACAGCTAACTGAACCGTTTGGGGTTTGCAACTAACTGTCTAACTCTATTCAGACTGAGTACGTTGTTGCTACCTGTTTCGAGTCCCAGCAACAAGTTTAGGCTTTAGGTTGTGTTGTTCATTTACATGTGTGATTTGAAACAGATTTGATTGAAAATATGCCTATATAAAGTAATTTAATTGCGAGAAAATTGATAATGTCGTGTATTTTTACTAACCTACGTCAAAATCGGAGGAGGTTTCTCAGTTCAACCATACCTTTGTTTCTACCTTTTTTGGAAGGAAGTAATTTATCAGAAGTAAATGAAAATTATCACCAAGTTCTCTCACGATGAACTTAGATTTTCTATCTGTATCTGTGTTAACAGAAAGTTTTCTATTAACACTTTTTACATTTAGTACGTAATCTACGCAAACACGCGTCCTTTTTTATATGCAAAAACTGGTACTAAATTATATCCTTCTTGTTATAATACAAAGATATTTTGTAACGCAAATTAAACCACAGCCACAGAACAAATCTAAATTAAAATCAAAGTATTGAATCATCAGAAAAATATAGCCAATAACAATTTTTCTTTGATCATAGAGGGGATATTGCATTTCGATTAAACTCGATATCGATGCGCGTAATATATTAGAGATGTGACAAATGACTATTATTACTCATAAATAAAGGTCGTTGCGTTTTGTTTTCTACGCGGCAACACTGGGCGTGTTTTAGCGCGTAAATTGTTGCGTCAACTTTTAATTTTTTAATGAATTGAATTCTTACGAAAGGGTTGTTACTGTTTCAGTGTATGGGTTAAATAGGCTCTATGACTCCTGTCTGCTTCAACTAACTACTATGGAATTTATTTAATTACGTGGGTATAATAAATATTTAGGTTAATGTGTAAACAATTCATAGTTCTGAGTTTCATTAAAAGTATCTACTTACGTACTTACGAATTTTCTTCACAAACAGTTTCTATAAAAATGGCGTCGGAATTAACCTGGTTTTATTTTTATATGAAAAATCTTCTAAATAATAATGAATGTAATATCTATCTTTGTATTAGGTACAAAAATCATATTTAATGACTCATTACAATACATGGAGGGTCATTAATAATGGCCCTCCATGTATTACTAATGTTAAAGTTATTTGAAGGTGTATAATAGAGGTATTTTTCAAACTACACAATTCACACAAAATATAAAGCTCTAAGTCGGTTAGTTGTTGATATTTGCATTAATATAGCTACTATAAGGAAATTGGCTTCATGTAGGTAACTCGATAATAATAATACAAATCACTCACTTAAACAAATTCATTGAATTTATGTCACCATGCTACAAAAGAGCTGAATCAACTTTGAGACAATCTTTGAAAACTTTCGGTTATAATCAATTTTCAAAATTAGTTATATTTAGATTATGTCATGAATAAGATCACTTTTAATATTAATCGTTGATAGTTAAAAGCTGCATGGCATAAGATAGAAACAAGAGGAAAGGCCAAACCATGGTTTTATGTCGCGAAGAACCTAACGGGTAACCGGGGCTCCGGCTCGACGTGCAGGAGAAAGAACGGGGTGGTTTTTAGTCAGTAAGAGTCTGAAACTCCCTCCCGCCTCACCCAGACGGGAGAAGTCATTCGATGATTTTCCCCTTAAAACAACATAGTTTTATATATCTCCTGTAACTATGATTAATTGTAAATAAGGATAATTTTATGGACTTTTACCGTTAGCAAAATTGTAATATAATAACTTATTGTTTCTGTAACTGTTTCCCTATGTTATAATTGTTAATAACTTACAGTTACACAGTAAACTACTACTATATACCTTTTATATATAGGTAAGTACTATATATGTATGTAATAAAGCTAATTATATCCGATTGGTCATTCTCACGTCATATTATATGATGTTGGTCCGTATTTGACGTTTATTTTCCGCTAGTTTTAGGAAATCTAATTTGGAATTAAAATTGACGTCACTAATTTTTATCCCGTTGTAACCATACGTTTTAATTAGACACTGAATTTATGTAAAATCTGATAAACCCAATTATTAGTTATTGGGTTTTTCAGTTTTCGGTGTTACCACCAACAATTGGGTACTTAATCAAAAATAAATTATTTCGACTGTGTACAATAAAATAATAAAAAATAATCACACTTTCATTAATTGATTTTATGACCAACCTAAATTTAGTATATTTCCGGCAATTGTTTAAGAAATAAATTTGCTGTTTGGCGCTAAAAAAAACATGACGTCACAATACACAATCTCGTACAAAATTCACAGAAAACTGCCGTTTTTGACAGTATTTTGATAAAAGTAATGAGTTTGACTAGTTGGCAAGTATCCAATTATGATCCAAGAATCGAATCCTAAAGACCCTTTACTAGGCGGTCACATAAAAAGAACATCATATAGAATATTGCAACAAGCAATCCCAAAAATGTTAGCTGGACACAAAGATTAAACCTGAAGCTATTATAGTAGTTATCAGTTCCGTTTACTCTTTAATTAAGGTAATACCTAAGTACGTATACATATCAGAAACAAACACGAGTTCAAAGTCTATACTTGTGACCATGTTCCCAAACTTATGGCGACAAAATATATCCAAGAATTACTATTAATATAGCCATGTTATGTCCCAACTACTTATCAACTCTACATTTCCATAAAGAAACAAATCGAAGTGTTTGTTACGAAATAACATATTCAAAAGGCAAAGCTTTATCCTATTTTAGGGAAAATATATAAACGACAGCTCTTTCACCTACCCTTAACACTTACTTATTACCTTTATATAGATTTTCAGATTTAAAACAACGCAATAACTTTGAAAATCGATCGAAAATGTGTTATATATAAAGAGTACCTTAATGAGCTGCCGTCTTTATCTTTGTACAAGGGCGAGATCTTATAATTCTTCATTTATAATTTGTTCCATTTCACAGCCTTGAAGCAATTACAGTAATAATGAAAGATATACATTAGAATAAAAATTTTGTCGTAAGTATTTTTTGTAGCTACATTGATATTTGAACATTTTAATACAGTTCAAACTAAATCAACAAACTCGAAATCCTTATTAAAAATATTTTTAATAATTTTCTATCAACCATGTGGGACGAATAATTAATTATCTATTGTGTCCGATACATTAAATACCGTTGAGCGCCCTTTCCCGTTTTGTTTATCCTACCGCGAAATTAAGATCTAAAGCTCCAATTCAAATGAGCTCATGTTCACAAAAAAGGGCTCATCTGTGACACCTACGTCACGTTTTACGTGCGATATCGTAGCATAGTTACGTGCTACATCACCGAGGGCGGTACAGCCTTAAAGTTATAAGGCGGGCCCGCAAACACCACTCGGCATTCGGCATTCGGAAAGCAACGATGAAACCGTACGCAGCCTGCACGACCGCTGTGCTTGCCTTGCTGCTGGCCGGTTAGTTCAACAAGTTATTATTCTAACTTTATTTTTATTTTCATTTAAATTACTTATCTGCCAAATTTATAATTTATCATTCGTAAATAATAACGTGTCTTTCATTCATTATTTTAATTTTTAACCAAACCTTTTTTTGGTGCATAAACTTTTTTTACTTCATTAAAAATAAACAAGAGCGACAAGGGTGAGAACTGGCTGGATTTTTTTAAGAAACATGTTTTCTAATTTCAAAAATTGCGCCAACAAGGAAAAGTTTTCTTTTATTTTTCTTTTCATTTTGCTAGCAGCGGTTCATGTTGTTAATTATTTATTATTTTTGATGTCGTCTGTGTTAAATAATTACTTATTTAAAACTTTTGGTTTACATAAAGTGTGTTAATATTAAGATTGGAGCAGTGTGGTAAGTCCGATTAATTTTTTATTCATTTAGGATTTTCCAAGGAAATTAAGCTTATGGTAAAGAACCTTTTAAACTATTTTGTTGTGATCTATATTACTTAATAATTAGGTCTCAATGTTATCACATCTTAAAATTACTACTAGATAATATAATTATGTGATTTTTTAAAAATTATATTAAGTTATATAATGTCCCCTTAGTCCTCCACGAGCCTATTGCAGACCTTTGTCCAACAATGGACGTCTTTCGGCAGTTGACAATGATGATGTCATGAATGTTTCGTTGCACGTAAATTTCCATGTGTTTTACAGATAATTACGGCCAAAAGGCGTAATAATACTGTTATATTTTAAACTTTTGCTACAATAATATATTAATGAGAATTATTGAAATTAAGCAGATAAGGATAATTACAACGCGATTTATAATCTTCTATTTGATCAGCAATCGCTCATTGATAAACCTGAACTTTTTAATTTGCAATCTCTAATTCGCGCCCGCCAAGCGTAGAGATTGTCGCGGAGAACCTAACGGGTAACCGAGGCTCCGGCTCGACGTGCAGGAGAAGGAACGGGGTGGTTTTTAGTCAATAAGAGTCTGACACTCCCTTCCGCCTCACCCAGGCGGGAGCAGTCATTCGATGATTTTCCCCCCTTAAAAAAAAGCGTGGAGGTTACGGCAAAACCTCTTATGTGGGGGTGGCTGGAAGGTCCATAGTCATAGTCATAGTCCAGTGGGCTGTAGCGGGTTGTTGATGACATAATAGTTTTTTATGAATTTTCAATCATGTCAATAATAATTACGGAAGCAATTAGATAATTAGTTAAGTCGATTACTTACCTATTTTTAAAAATATTTTAATAATACCCGAATATTCTTGAATAAATTCGAAATAGTGCAAGAAGATACCTATAAAAGTAGCCACTGAGCCCAGCAATATAAAAGTTAGGGTGCATCATTACTTGTCGAGCGCATAAAATATTTTACGACTCAACCATTCAATATTGATAAAAGTTTTAGGATATTCAAATGCACTTATTTAAAGACTAAAGTCCTATCAATATTTTAACTTAGGCATATATATTTCTTCTTTTATAAACACCACGACCATATGAAAATCGTGACTTTAAGCGCGTTTGAAGTTAAATTAGGATCTAATTTATCACACGTGTACCTACTTGAATTATTGTGACTGCTTACTTTTAGGAGGCCAATTTTTGGTCCATTAGATAAATGACATAACATAACATCACGCCTTTTATCCCCGAAGGATTAGGCAGAGGTGCACATTACTTACGGCACTTAATGCCAGTGTACAAATGTAACACCCACACATCACTATTTATGTTATGAGTCCCATGTAATAGGGGGTGAACCTATTGCAATATACAGGGCACAACTCCAGACTCCGTGCCACCACTGGGATTTTTTGAAAACTCATTGTTACTTTGCCAGACCCGGGAATCGAACCCGAGACCCGTTACCCGGCAGTCGCACTTGCAACCACTCGGCCGACGAGGCAGATTATTAGATAAATAATTAAGGAAAAAAGGGATAATGTCCTTTAAATTCGATATTAGTTTATCTTTTATTTATTTCATTTTGTGTCTTGTTTAGCTAATTATATATTTATACATATTTGTATCAGTTATATACCTATTACGATCCGGGTGTTAAACTTCAATTCAATAGTTCTAGTTCATTTTATGTTATATTTCTAACGTTCAATAGAACTTATAACGGTATATTTGCCATGTTTCTAGTTTTGATGAGTTTCCGATACTTCAGCACTATTGCAAGCGTAATCACGGATGAATAAACATACAGTACTTAAACATAACATCAACCCTTTTAATCCTCGAAGGAGTAAGCAGTCGTATACATTAAAAACCGGGAAAGTGTCCAGTAAAATCGAGAATCGAAGAAACGAAATCTGTGACAAGTTCTAACCCTTCTATTACTGATAAATATAAATATAAAACTAATAGTTTTATATTCCTAAAACGAACAAGGCAAACTATATAAAATACTATACATATTGTGACACAAATATCTAAAGCAAAAGGAAAATCATGTAAATCCAGATTAAAAATTAGCATGATAATACTTTAATATCACTCTAGCCTTGTAATTGTGATAAAGCTTCAGGCTGACAATAAACGGAATTTAGAACAGATGAGACCCTGAAACAAATTACTGAAACAAAACAACGTGGACCCAAAATGTTAATATTTTTAATTACATTTTAGTAAAACATGTACCTAATTACAAGCTGTCACATGTCCTAGAAACAAACTTTTAAAATCATATTATTTATGTTTGAAAAATATATGAAACTAGTACCTCACTTGCGGCCTTGTCCGCTTTACCGGGATCAAATTACCAAAAGCTTTACTCCATCATTATTGCGAGGTTTCACCAGCTTCTTTTTCCTCGATAATTGACTATCCAACACGAAAAGAATCAATCGATTCGAACCAGTTTATCCATAGTTTAGCGCGTTCGAACAAACTTTTCAGTTTTATAATATTAGTATCTAGACACGCTCAGACAATAATCTTGGATTAAAAGCTAACTTTAATTTATTGTAACTTACTTTATCCGTCACTGACATGACAAGCCTCAATCAGATATAATATTTAGGTACGGTACGTAATGTTGTCAATCACTTTAGATAGCAAATATAATTGATTTGTCAATAGTCATTACAATTCTGAAATTCAATGTAGTTTCTGTTATTAACTATTCGAACTTTGCTATGATATGGGAAAATGTTAACCGATGTTAAATGGCTGAACTGATTTTGGTGACCCTTCGAGCCGGAGCCCTGACAACCCGTTAAGCCCTCCGCGAATGTTTTTGTATATTAATTGACCGACTTCAAAAAAGGAGGGATGGAAGGCGCTTTTTTTAAACGTAGTTTATAAAGAGTTATTTTAACTGTACTATCCAAATAATGATTCGACTAATTAAGGTAATTCATATGTAACTTGTTGTAAGTAGATCTGGATTCGATTCCGTGTGGGAATCGAATAAGCTCGGTTCGATTCAGTAGTGTTGGCATCTATGTGAACGTGAAAGTATTTTTCAACGTGCCAACAACTATATTGTTAGGTATGAGTACATAATGCTAGATGAAAAGTGCAGCGCTCTCTTAAACAGATCTACCTGTGTTGACACCATGGATAGATCTAATACATTATGTATGTCACGGAGTCCAATTGAAACTCGATGAGTGTTTATATAAAACTGTCAATTTCTTTCATTATGTAACTAGATTACATATCAATTACAACGTTCAATCAACTAATTACAAGGTTGTATATCAAACAATACCCAAATATCCCTGGCAAGGGTAAAAACAAACGCTAAACTTACGAACCACCTGTTGTGAGCCTACTTAAATCGACGAGAACTTGTTAATACGGCCACAGTTATAAAGTAACATGTTATACACTTAGCTCCAGTTTGTTAGTATTTGGTAATTGGTTCTATTTTAAATTGGGCCCTAAATGTGGTGGGTGCTGCCTAACTTTTACATTTATCAGTTTTAAAACATAATTTATACTTAACTGCTGAAATGAAAAGGACTATTAATCTCGCTTCACTAAAGCTTTTGTATAGTATTTCAACATTAGTTGTTATCGTAAAGTATTTACTTACCATAAAACATTGTATTTAAATAAAAGTAGCGGTGTATGTAAGTTTTTATGTTGTACATACATCCTGCGTAAGCTTTAGTACCAACGAAGCCATTGTAAGAATTACTTAGTAAAATAGGTCATTTTACGATTCAACAAAAGCAGTAACTAATTAAAAAAATAAGCCTAACACATAATGGGTGGAGCACATACTCATGTTTTATTTAACACGTATTATGTACACGGTTTTAATGTAATGAAGGTTTTTTTTAACGATTTAAACCCTTTTTGAATACGATCCCCAAGCTTTTGGTGAATTAATTTATTCGTTTATCCTGATCGGGAATCGGGGAAATGGCAAAATAATATTAGGTGACGCCTACAGAGAAACGTATCGATATCACGAAAAATATAAACATAATATCCCAAATCCCGACACGTACACGTAATTATTAAATGATTTTTATGTAACAAACAATACAAAAACATTTTCAAAAAGCCACAACGCTTTCTCAACATTTGCATTTGTATTTTTAACAGCAGATGGAGTATAAAACCGGGTATAAAAAAAGGCACGTATTTTGCTATATTTCCTGTATATCAGGGCCTACCAGCAATAATCCTTAATTTTATTATGTACCTATATTAGGGATACGAGATCCTCCCAATGAAACCAAAGTACCCCTTTAACAGTAAATACTTAAACACCTTCCGTAAGAATAAAATTATAATAGAATTTACACAATCCTTGGATTGTAGAGAATTTCAGGTTAGATAGAATGGTATTTCCCTTTAAGGTACATTATTTTACAGAGTGAGGTCATTATTTCCTCATAGACAAATTTCTATTATTTTAATCCTATTAAAACATTGTCTGTCGGTTAGTGTAAATGTCTCAAACAGACTTTTGAGCTCAAAGTTTCAATTTCCGGATCGTACAAGGTAATTCATTAGAC